GAGATTGTAATATTTTCTCCACAATTGCTAAATATGCAACCATCTCACCTTTTATTTTTATTTGATTTGTCAAAGCAAGTACTCGAGTCACATAATCTGCAACACTTTCAGCAGATTCCATCTGCAAAATTTTAAATTGGTGTCTTAATGTTTGAAGCCTAATGTTTTTTACCTTTTCAACTCCATGGTATGATGTCTCCAAAATATCACATGCTTTCTTTATCGTAGTTGCTCTATTGATCTTCTCAAAAATTGGAGCACTTGTGAGTTAGATGATCCCGGAGATCTCCCGCGGGTTGCTAGTGATGACCCCCGGAGTCAAAGGGGCCAAACATGTGATTGTGTGGGAGAGGTTCGAATGAATTATCCTGAGTACACTGGGCGGAATGGCTAAGTGTCGAATTCAGGCGAGCTTGCCTTGACAGGCGGCCCGACTTGGGCAGTCTACTTGAATCAGGATTATGACCGAAGAAGCGAATCCCGCCTGAATTGGTGGGCTTGCTTAATTTGGTTGGTTCGCCTGTAGTACCGAGTTCGCCGAAACAGAGAACTTTACGGCCAGAGTGAAGCCCACCTGAACGCGGGGGCTCATGTGACTTGCTCAGCTCGCCAACATTGAGAAGATTGTGTCTCCGTTTGGCATTCCTCAGACCTGGGTAATAATTCAGACCGTCATAAGAGGTGAAGGCTTGGGCTTCTTGTTGGGCGAGATCCTATCATCGCCGCTAGCGAGCTCTCTTAGAGAGAGGAGCGTCTGTGCAGACTGAGACGGTGTGGTCCGCACCAAGACGAATAATTGTATCTTCTCGAGCGGGGGTTTGTGAGGATCGTTTAGCGACCCATCTAGCAATCTTTCAATCTGTGCTCTTGGTATTCCACTTGGCCTTGACTAACTTGGGGGAAATAGAACCCCCAGCCATGGTTCGGGTAGAGTCCTCAGGCGTGCATGCCTCGACCGCTTGGGGTCAGGCCACACACACGATTCTATAGTGCTTGCGGGACGCATTGCCATTAGAAGAGGAGGAAGACAAGTATTCTTCATACTTGGCTTAGTCGAACTCGATCACGAGGGACTTCACGGTTGTCCTAACTACGGCTTCGTCGAATTGCACTACCACCATTTCGGTTGAAGAAACTGTTTCTCCCACTGTGATCACCATCTTTTGTAGGTATAAAATTTAATTTCCCGAAATGAGGATTTTGTTTGTATTGATAAGAATAGCTTATTACAAACTAATGAATCAAAGTTACAACAGAAATGAAGGGAATGTCCTCCTTGTTTAACGTGGCGTCTTTGGTAGCGATAGGATGCCTCCCTCAGTGTCGGAACCGAGTTTGTTTCCCTTGGACAATCCGAGCAAAGTTGCGGGAGAGCTTCAGTGAGTAGTAGAAGCTCGTGTTGACCGAGTTCGAGTTCCCGAGCTTAATGGCTGTCAAGGCCGAAAGCTGGAAGAATATGCTATAGTGCAGGGACAATGCAAAGAGCGGATCGCCAACCAACTGAGAAGTGAGCTAATCAGTCGAAGAGTCAACCCCTTTCACGTAGCCAGGAGTGTCTCTTAAATAGGAAAAAGACAACATGGTCACTCCCTTGAATCATGGGATGTGACCATGCACTGTTGAGAAATGCCATGCCTCTCACTTGTATTGTAAGCTGTTGCTTGATGGGCTCGGAGCACTGTACTCCTCCCCTTCACGTAGGGGGAAATGGGAAGGCCCGTCCCTGTACGTGACAGCACCGTCGCCGCGTATTCTGGCGAGCTCGGCAAATTTGCAGGCGCCTTGCTGATCGCCTAATCGTGCAGGCGAGCTCAGCGCTTGACTCGTGCAGGCGAGTCAAGTATGCAGGCGAGCACCGCTACTGAGTGCTGCGGGCGACTATTTGAAGGGTACGGGGTACTGTACTCCCCCATTTTCACTTCGTGGGAAATGGGAAGGCACATCCATGTACATGACATCATAGCCGCCTAGTATTCTGGCGAGCTTAACGAACTTGTAGGCAGACTGCTGATTGTTTGGACGTGCAGGCGAGTTTCGTTCATGCTGGCGAACTTGCAGGTGGACTGCTAACTGCCTGAACTTGCAGGCGGACTGCTGATTGCCTAGACATGCAAGCGAGCTTCGTTCGTGTTGGCGAACTTAGTGTTGAGTGGATTTCGTTCGTGCTGGCGAACTCATGCTGGTGTGTTTATTGATCTTCCCGTTATTGAGGCAATTTTTATAGCCTGCAACTGACGACTTGTACAACCCACAAGCTCGTCCCAAAGAAGAAGCTTTGATTTTTACCCAAAAAAGTGACCTCTCTCTTGTAAAATCCCTCCAAGCTTTCTCTTTTTCTCTCCTTAAGATCTCAGATCTAGATCTGAAAAGACTCTCCTTTTTGCAGCCGCTAAAACCCTCCTTTTCTCCTCTTAAAAACCCTAGGAAACAGGTTCCTATTTATAGTGAAAAACAGGCCAAAAACGGATTTGAAAAAGGCCAAAGAAAACCCCCTATCACTGTTCACCCGAGACACTATTCACTGTCTCAGGTGAACAGTGCCGCGCACAGTGTCGAGACACCATTTGGTGTCTCGAACTGTTCATAGTAATTATTGATTTTTGGCTAAATGGCACCTTTTGTTCCCGATACGGCTAAATGGGGCTTAAATATCATAAAGGTTTTTCTTTTTTGGCACTTATGTACCATGAGTTGTCTTTTGACAAATAAAGAATATAATTTGTTTAAAAGTGGCATGTTAGTACTATCAATCATGCAAATGTGAAAACTTTTATCTCGATGTTCCCGTATGACACTATGACATATTCATTTTATAACTCTCTAACCATTAATATTTGTTAAATTTATGATTAAACATATCACAACTCTATTTTAAAGTAAAGATGAGTTAAAAAAAGAATTTTCATAGATTTAATATAGTTAAAAAACTTTGAAATTAACACATCGTAAGTATCATAGAAAACATCTGAATGAAAGTTCACGTTTGCATGAGTGTTTGCATGAGTGAAGGTCCTAGCGAGCCAATTTTAAAATAACTTATGATATTTATTTTTTTAAAAATAACTTGTGAAATATAAATGCCAAAATGAAAAAAACTTTATAATAGTTAAGTGCCCTTTAGCCTTGGTTTTAAATGGATTTAGATATCCTTCCCACATGAGTTGATTTGCTTGGATTTCCGTATATAATGAGATGGCAGAACTTTAATATAAGTCCTTAATATTTTAGCCTGATTTCATTTGGTTTCTTAATATTTGAAGCTTATCAATGGAGGTACTTAACGTTTACTTAGTTATCTTTTTTAATTTTTTTCTGTTAACGTTTATTGATGTGGCATGATTTTTTGGTCATTTTTATTTGGAAATATTGCTTCTACCCCTTGGTTTTTGAAAATCAAGCTTTGTCCCCCAAGTCAAAACTTAAAAGGTTTTACCCTCTAAACATTCAATTCACATTGTCTAAGTTTTTACCCTCTAAACATTCAATTCACATTGTCTAAGTTTTTACCCTCTAAACATTCAATTCACATTGTCAAACGACTCAAACCCCATCTACCCAACAATATATTCATTTATCCCTAACAGCTGCTAATTTTCCATATAGTAAAATTAGTCCTTCAAATCATGGAAATTGCTATTTGGTCCTTTAGTTCATAAGGTATATTGTAATTAGCTCCTCTAAGTCATTAAAATTTCTAAGTCCTCTAATTCTTAAGTTATTTTGCAATTCTTCCCTCCAATCAAGAGTAAAAATATCAATTTGAGAGAAATTAGTCTCTCAAATCATCTAAACTTCTATTAAGTCACACAATTCCCAAAAGCTATTTCAAGCTAATCCCTTTAATTGCTAATTTTTTTATTTATTTGAAGGACAAATTTCAAAATAGCTTAATAATTGAGGGACTTAATAGCAACTTTAATGATTTGAGGAACCAATTTCAAAGTACTTAATGAATTGAGGGGCTCAATAGCAATTTCCATGATTTGAAGGACTAATTTTAAAATATAAAAACTTAGGGATATTTTAGGGATAAATGAAAGTATTATTGGGGAGAGGGGGTTTCACAATGTAAATTAAATGTTTGGAGGGTTAAAATCATTTTAAGTTTTTACTTGGGGACAAAGCTTGATTTAAAAAAACCAAGGGGATGGAAGCAATTTTTCCAAACAAAAATAACTAAAAAGTCATTCCATATCAACAAAAATTGGCAGAAAAAAATAAAATATGACCCAATTTGATACGAGATAAACGTTAAGAACCTCTACTGATGAGTTCCAAACTAAAGACAAACATGAAATCAAGCTAAAACATTAGGACCAATATTGAATTTTCGCCTTATGAGAAAACCAGTATTAAACCTAATCCATATAAATCATCAATCAAATATCTATAAACTCATGTGTGCTAACAGATATTCACATCATCACTCAACTGATTCTTTCGTCTATGATAAACAAGAAGTATGCAATCAAATTAACGGGAAGTGTAAACCTGACAAATCTAGGAGAGTGCAAAATCGTCTTAGAAATCGTCTTGGACATCCTCAAACTGCTTCATCCGAGTCGAAAAGTAAGTATACTTCGTATTGACAAAACCTTTACCAGTCCTCTCACCATCGTTCAACTATTTTCTCCCCTGTTACATTTGATCATATTATTCATTTACAAACACCATAAAACAAGAACAACTTATTACAATCACAAATCACCAACATCTTGCCTTCCAACAATGACAAGTACCCCAGCAGAAAACATCACTATAGACACAGACACTTGTGTAATTATCTAAGTTACATACTACTTTCATGTGTTCATTGACTATGACTCCTTCAACAGAAGCTATAGATCAGTACAATGATTTTATATGCAAGTTTAGTCCTCTTCAGCAGAACATACGATTACGACCTCACTTGTTTTCCTCTAAGATTTGTTCAATTGAAACACAGGATGGCGACAAAGCTTCCTGATTCCTTCCCTAACTCTGAACCT